TTCGAACTTGAACTCCTCCGAAACGGCTCGACCGATTTTCACCAAATTTCATATGTGTATTCAGTAGGTCTGATAATAGGACAACATCTATTTTTCATCCCCCTAAGTGATAAGGGTTGTTCACCCTTAAAAAAAATTTAAATTTTTTGATAATTTTTTTGTAAATACTGTCTATAGTTTACGCGAGTAACACTTTAACTAATATATCGCGTTTTAAACCGTTAAAGTGTTTTATTTAAAAAAAAAAATCTAATTTTAAATTAAAAATACATACAACCCTAAATTTTAACTTTTTTTTATCACGAACCCCTATTTGTTTATAGCCATTTTAGTAAAATTATTTATATGGTAAAACAACGTTTGCCGGGTCAGCTAGTAATATGTAAAAATAGAATCTTAAATATTACAAAGTCAAAATTTATAGTAGCAGTATTATATGGTGACTAAATTTGATATTCATCAATTATTTTTGTATGGTGTAAGAGGATAGACAAGTACTGATTTAACTTGAAGGAAGGTTAAGCTTAACGGCTTAATTATCTGTGGTTCAAGGTTCGTGACGCGGGACAGAACTTTCCATATTCCTTCTACCCATTTAAAATCCAGGAGAAGTCTAACATGTTTTATAAAATTATAAATTAATAAGAAATATGTTGGACCCGACGGGGATCGAGTGCATGACCCGTTGATTATTAGCCATACACTACCACCATTAGGCCAACGAGAATGCCAAGTAGCCCTTAAAATTTTTATCTTTTATTAATGATTAGATTACTTACTCTACTGTGCTAAGATCATTAAGATATTATATAATGTTAAGCAATTAAAATTATTATTATTTTTTACTTAATATAAAAAAAATGTTTGCGATTCTTCCTGTCAAATCACGTACAAACCACAACAGCTTGGTACCAAAGTTATCTCTGCGTAACGACTCAATATCTGGTCAGAACGCTTTCAATTTTGCTACCAGAATACAAATTTTATCCACCGGTTTTCGAACCCAGCGATTTTGGAGATAAGAAAATAAAGCTTAATATATTATGTCTTTTAATACGTCGGGCCGTGTTTAAAATAATTTCCAACACACCACAGAAAGTACATATTAATGAGGAAAAAATAATCTTACGTACTAACTTATAAATAAGAGGCAGCATTATCGCTAAGTAGCGATCTCTTTCAGGCAACCTGAGTAAAGTAATTCAATAATATTTAAACTACTGGCGTAAACTACAGACAGTATTAGACTATAATTATAATGAACATACACACTAATAAATAAATATTGAATTAAAATAACACCAATGAAGGCCAAAAAGGTTATTACCGTTTGACCGGTACAGATCAATATTACCTAGACGACGTCATATCAAAATAATAATGATGGATGTGATTTTTCATCTTAGAGCTCAATAAAACAAAAAAGCTTTTCAACAACCGAACTTTTAAACTAAAACATATCGCATTCTAAACCCCTAAGTTTTATTAAAAGGCAACTAAATACTGTACGTAGTTTACGCTGTTAGTACACATTTAAATAAAACACTTCAACGGTTTTAAACGCGATTTATATTAGTTAAACTTATTTTAAAATTATTTTTAACTTTGGCGCGCCGTTGCGGATGCTTTGCAGCAGTCTCCCCGTGACCACGACTGCTGAAAGTTAGAGACAGTCAAACTTGCGAATGGAACAAAAATGGAACTAGTATATGTCGCGTTTTAAACCGTTAAAGTGTTTTATTAAAAAGACATCTAATTATATATACTATTGTGTCCCGTCCAACCGAAAATATTTGCCCTAATTGTAAATATATTTCAGTTTAAATCGATTTTTAGAAAATATTGGCGTAAGCATTAACGGCAATCTTTTCTACTAACTACTTACTTTGCTTAGATTTTTTTATTAACATGACTACTTCATAATATGCTTATAATATTAACACAACGTTAAGGTAATTTCATTGGTATGACAACATTTTTGCATTTATAATTCAAGGTTCAAACTCTAATGATGCTTTTGCATGTTCGCATGAATCTTTTCCTTAATAGTTTAAAGGAAGCATGAGATCTAAGTTAGCTTTATTACATAAGTACTTAACGTCATTCCATTAATAGTTCCCACCGGTGGGAATGAGGCCTTTTCCTAGTTTTTAATTTACTACACTCAACGAATGTGTAAATTAAAATTCGATTTTAGATTGAAGTAAATTACTGCTTGAGAAGGAACCTCTAACCAAATAAGCTACACGTCATCGTCGATCTTTTTGTAACCTTTAATACATGCATCTCTAGCGCAATGCAAAAAATAACAGATTTTTAATTTATACAATGCCATCACATATAAAACATTTAAATAAATGTGTGTGTTTTTAGTTCTTAGGCATGGTTGTTTTGTCGATTTTTCCTTCGTCAGTTAACATGTGCCAGTACACGAGATCTATGATATTGACGCATGACCGAGCATAAAAATAGTTAGATTAAACAATACATATTTCGAGTTTATACCCACATTATATAAGCAAATTTTTGAAAAGTTTAATAATTTTCACATTCACAACGGCATTATATAAAAGGATTGAAAAAAATTTCTACAATGGCGGGATTTGAATCGGCGTCACAGCGTTCAGTGTTCCGTGCACTAACCAAATGATCTATCGTGTTCTAATAATTTTTGACCTACTCCACGTGACCACGTCTTCTGTATAGCGGAAGCAACGTCGGTTCTTAGAAACTAATAAACAAATATACTTCGCATTTTACACCGTTTAAAAGTGGTTAATTTAACTTCGAATAAAATGAAAATGAGATTGAAATCCTTACATAAAATCGCATAAAAGACTATTATAACCCCATAATTGCAGTTCATTTAAAAACGTTTTCAAAGGAATTCTCAACAGCAATAGCCGACAGCAATATACAGATGGCCCTAAAGAAAAGCATACTTTATCAAAATGCCGTTGCATTATGCGCGGGCATTCATTGAATAAGTTGTTCCGAACGGTCTCTCTATTTAAACGTCTTCTGAGAAGACTATAGATTTAAATAAAAGACTTTAACGGTTTAAAACGCGATATATTAGTTAAACTTATTTGAAAATGATCTCCCCGTGACCACGGCTGCTGCAAAGCATCCGAAACGTCGGGCCGAAGTTAAAAATCATTTCCAAATAAGTTTAACTAATATATCGCGTTTTAAACCGTTAAAGTCTTTTATTTAAATGTGTACTACTCGCGTAAACTATAGACAGTCTTTAAGACAATACAAGATTATAGTTACAATGTGAATATATCTTTTGTTAGAAAAAGCCGTTAAGGATTTCTGAAACTTTATACTTTATTTAGTAATGTCTAAATAAAAAAAGCTACAATTCTGAATTGTATTGTCTGTAGTTTAAATACAACTTTTTTTAACGGTTTAAACGCGAAACATATTAGTAAACTTATTTCTGGTATAGTTTAACTACGGTCCGATGTTTGGATTGCTTTGCAGCAGCTATAAAGGGTAACTGAAGATGGAACGTGTCCTTAATGTCCAGGTCTGTTACGCTGACGCCATCTGTTTCTTCGTAGTTGATATTTTGGCGTAACTAGTGTCTTTACAAAACTGACTCACGGTATCCTCTATTAAAATAAAAATCGATTAAAAAACTTTTAAGTTAAACTATTTTACTTTTTGTGCAATGAAAACCACAAAAATAAATATACATAATCATCGTGTTTTACTAGTGTAGTATAGTGTGTGTAGCACCTTTCATTTTATACCCATATTGAGGGAGTTAAGGAAAAATATGTTATCCGCCATTTTGTATCAGCGGCCATCTTGGATTTATAATGTTTTTGATTTTATTATGTTGTCATCTAAATTAAATGTGTGTTCAATTTAAGATCTAACAACGGAAAGGTGCTTAAATTTCAATGTCTAATTTTGACCTAAATAAATAAATTCCGTACGAGTCGAGCTAAAAAAACCGTTTAAAAATAGAAAACATCTGAGACAATTTGCAAAGGTGGTTTACAAAAACGACACATATTTGTCGTTTCGATAAAACGATTACACGCAATAATCATTTATCTAGTTAATATTGATTAATCTGCGTAACGCGGTACGTAACGAAGCGTACCTTTTAATAAGAAGTTAAACGTCGTTAGAAAATACAAATGTATCTACTAAAACTTGGCACACAGAGCCGGATGGACGTTAAACACATTTCATATTCATGCGAATTCCACCAATTCATTAAAGTAACAGAATTTGTGGGATGTCACTATGCAATAAGCCGTATTAACACTGTCACTGTCCATATTGGAGGTGTCGCTCCAATAATTCAATTCCTATTGTTCATTAGTTCCTGGTTGTTCTGGCTTAGTTTCGATGCATAATTCAATTTTAAGATTCAGTTCTAGATAATACTAGGAGGCTATATAGTTTTATAGGCTCTAAAGCAAAGAGTACTAACTTACTAAATAGTAACTAAATAAAGAGGACACAGGCGAGCTTCGAACCTAGAACTGGAATAGCAACGCCACTGTCCATATTGAAGGTGTCGCTCCAAGATTTCAATTCCTATTGTTCATTAGTTCCTGGTTGTTCTGGCTTAGTTTCGATGCATAATTCAATTTTATGATTTAGTTCTAGATAATACTAGGAGGCTATATTGTTTTATAGGCTCTAAAGCAAAGAGTACTAACTTACTAAATAGTAACTAAATAAAGAGGACACAGGCGAGCTTCGAACCTAGAACTGGAATAACAACGCCACTGTCCGTATTGGAGGTGTCGCTCCGATATTTCAATTCCTATTGTTCATTAGTTCCTGGTTGTTCTGTCTTAGTTTCGATGCATAATTCAATTTTATGATTTAGTTGTAGATCACACAAGATGTTATATAGATTATTAATTATTTTTATAATTTCCTCCCTACATATTATGTTATCTATAAGTATGGACATAGTTCTGTTGTAATCGTAACTAAATTAAAAAAATATATTTTCTTCTTTTCAGATACATTTTCCTGGCAATTTACACAGCGGAGATGATAATTAAGTGCATAGCGAAAGGCTTCATACTAAATAAGTATACTTACCTGCGGAACCCGTGGAATTGGCTAGACTTCGTAGTAATCACGTCTGGCTACGCGACTATTGGCATGGAAGTGGGAAACTTGGCTGGTCTGCGAACTTTTCGGGTGCTGAGGGCGCTCAAAACAGTATCAATAATGCCGGGTAAGTATTTTTTTTACAACAGAGGACAGACAATCAATTAAGGTTATAGTTATATAATAGCACTAGCTGGGTCAGCGACTTCGTCCGCGAGAATCGTTATTTTGGGCATCCAAATTCGTTTTTGCAGACACCTTCATCTTTATAAACTTAAGCTGTTGCCTACGACGTCCGCGTCAGTCGCGTCCCTTCCCGTCGTTCTTGCAAGTTAAATTCAAAAGAGAGAAAAATAGCGTCGCGGACCGTTTTTTAGATCATTTAAAGGGGAATCATTCTTCTATATATATATGTTTTATTTAAATGTGTACTACTCGCGTAAACTATAGACAGTATTTCATAACAAACAAAGTTTTTTTTATGTTTATATTAGTATTTTATTTTATACTGAACGGTTTAAAACGCGAAGTTAATAGTTGACTTAATTACTATTTATTTTAAGGGTTTGGCGTTTCGTATGCTTTGCAGCAGCTATGGCCATGGGGGAGTATAAGTAAATTAAGTAATAGATTTCGCATTTAAAACAGTTCAAAGTGTTTTATTTCACTTTGAACTACTCGCATACACTGCAGATAATACTTAGATTTTTATTTATAATCTTAATCTCGAGCATGACAGGTGTCAAATTAGATTTTTTCTTGTGTCTTTTAAATATAACATTTTAACGGTCTAAAACGTGATATATTTGTTAAACTTATTTGAAAATGACTATTATTAACGAATATATCGCGTTTTAAACTGTTAAAGTGTTTTATTTAAATGTGTACTACTCGCGTAAACCATAGACAGTATATAATAAATCTTACGAATTTACATGAAAATTTGCTAAAAAAATCTTTCTTTCAATTCACCCATAGTACACAATTGGGGCATTGCTTAAAGCTAGTAATTAAAAAAAAGGAAAATTTTATAAAATTATTCATATTATGTCAAACATCATAGCTCAAAAATCGTGACTTTGATAACAGTTGAGAAGGAATTATTACGATTCAAGGTGAAAAACGATTTCCAGAGATTTCCTTTGAAGTTGTATCCGCCCACGACCCTTTAAGGCTTCCGTTTATAAAAAGGGGATCATTATTGGGACCGATCTGTTGATGGTAAGCTTCTGAATCACTAATGCTTTTTGGAAAGAATTCTTATGCAATAATAAACTTTGATCGCTTATACATTGTTTTTTATGATAGAGGACAAACGAGCTCGTTCATAATACATCCCAACAAGATGCGATGACCTATTTTGGCTTTGGATGTTCGGAAATGAACAGACTACAATCAAAATTCTTTCTTTGTGAGGACGATGAACAAATAAAAAGTATAGTTTTATTAACATCTTATTAGATGAACATTATACAATGAACTATTATATAAAACAGTCTAGACTCAAACTAAAACAATTTAACGGTTTTAAACGTGATATATATTAGTTCAACATATTTGGAAATTATTTTAACCACAACCCGACGTTTCGGATTCTTTGCAGTAGCCACCACGGCTGCTTAAATCATTTCCAAATAAATTTAACTAATATATATCACGTGTAAACTTCAGATAGTATTCAGTCTAGACTGTATAATATTTAAAATCAACAATGTACGGCAATATTGCATACATATAAGCACGATAAGAGATGCTCTTGCGATGCTCTTGGTATCGAGAGTCGAGATCACTTCACGGTTTCATAATTTTTCGCTTTTTGTTCACAGAATTCTCAATGCGATTAAGTTTTCGAGATTTCTTTTTAAGATGCGATTCACAATCTTTACGAGGTTATATATATTTGATAAGATAAACCGTTTTACAGCTCAAAAAGGTGTGTGGGACGAGGCAGGTCCATTGGTCAAGCGGGACGGACCGCTGTGGTCGTAGGTTTGAGTCCCCCCCGAATCGTCGTCGTCATTCTATTGTAGATTTTTGATTTATTTAAAACTATCGTTTGCAATAGCATGCGAAAATAATGACGCATAAGATATACAAATTATTGTAGACTGTAATATCTATACTAATGGATAAAGCTGAAGAGTTGGTTTGTATGTTTGAACGGGCTAATCTATCAGGAAGTACTGTGTGATCGATGTGACGAATAGCAGCGTAGAAACAGCGGGAAATGTGGAAAAACGGGGAAAGTTATTAATCTTAGAGAGTTTTCAATCTGTACGCTGCGGAAACGGTTCAAGATACCCAAAATATATGTATAAAAATATATGATGTTAAAAAAATTGTCAATCTGTCTATCTTTTAAGATTAACTTGCAAGAATGACGGGAAGGGACGCGACCTACGTCGTTGGTCACAGCTTAAGTTTATAAAGTAACGATTCTCGCGGATGAAGTCGCTGACACAGCTAGTTAATCTCCTTTGTATCAATTCTTTATGACTTGATACAAATTCATAATAAATTTGTACGTGAATTTCAACGTCTATTTTTTTAATCTGCTGTTCTGTTTTATTTATATTAGTTTTTACACTTAGTCTTGCACTTACATGTGGTAAATTACTTAATAGCGACACAAAATATTTAAAAAAAAACTTAAAATAATAATATCTAATATTTTGAAAAGTAATTTACAAAATAAATAAAAAACAAACATGGCGGCCCTTATAAGTACTAATTGTAAAAATGGCGACGTAATTTGACATTTTTTAAAATAATTACAAATTTAATGTATAAGAATATTTTTATCTCATCCCATTTCGTACTTCATAAACAAATATCCATTGTCTGACAAATTGAAGTAGCAAGCTGGCAAATAGACGTTGTTTTGTTATATTAATTAGTCTGAATTGGCGGCAATTGAATGTTGATTTATAATTTTGTAGCATGGTAACCCATTTTGTAATAACATTTGCTTAATTGTATATTATCTGTAGCTATAAGTAAAAATTTACCGCCTCTGTAACTAAGTTAAACGCGTTGCATAGCAGTGCGTTAAGCTTGAAAGATCCTGGATCGAATCCCGGGAAAACTATAGATTGTTCGGTAGGGTAGGGCATAGTATTCTGACCACCTACTTGTCTCTATATAATAACGAGGAGTGAGATGCAGAAATGTCTCCGCCCTATGTTTAGAGGAGAAACAGGATTTTACTTTTAACTATTTTGAGTAAAAGGTTTCGGGTTATATTTAGAAGCAAAGTGCGATACATTTAAATTTAAAAAACACTTAGCTAGTTTCACACTCCGTTTAATACTAAGTGTCCTTTTAAAAGAAGTTCCATTTTCCGCCATTCGTTGAGAAATCTTGTAGTCGAGTGATATATTTGTTTTCTTAATGTCCAAAGCCAAATGAGATCGACATAACTATTATGGAGTAAAATAGAAACATGAAACATGAAAAATAAAAACAAGGACAGCGAAGTCTACTGTAACTAGCCAGGCTTTACTTCTTGCTTTAACAAGACACTTCTCTTCTTTATAATCAATAATTATATAGATCTAATATGTAATATTTCGTTATTTTACTTTGAATCTAAATGCCAACACACAAAACAGAATGGCACAATTATTTCTTAATTAATAATAATTAATCCTATTAAAAACTTTAATATTTTTCAAATGATGGATAAAAATAATATCTCTTTAGATCAAAAAAAAGCTTGACAAGGGCGATATTAGAACCGACATCTATAGCGTTCCGTGCTGATGCTCTGAAGAATCACGACGGACAGACAGACAAACATTTTTGACGAATCTAAATATTTTTGGAAATATTAAAGAGAATAAATTATATTTTATATTTTAACCAATTGCCTTCCTACACTACGCCTAGCTACATTTACTAGCTACACGTCATCGTCAAATTTCCTAAACCCATGCATCTCTCTAGCAATGTGATTTCGACCTTACTTACGTAACACGACGATTATGTTTAGGACACGATAGCTCTATTTGTTAGGCGCGTTGCGCATTATTTAATTTATATTACTTTTTATTAATATTATCCTATTAAAATAGAGGAGAACAAACGAGCTTGGCGTTAGATGAAAACCCTTGGCAAATAACATCTTAATCGTATCTTAATCAACCTATTTTGGCTTTAAATATAATCCTCATATAATCTATATATTATTTACCTCAGCTAGAAGGCTAATTTTGTTATTTGAAAATGTGCCTTATCCCGCAGGTCTTAAGACGATTATCAACGCACTTCTACATTCGTTCAAGCAACTGGCTGAAGTCATGACCCTAACAATATTCTGCCTGATGGTGTTCGCTCTCTTCGCGCTCCAAGTCTACATGGGAGAATTGAGGAATAAGTGTGTGAGGAACTTGGTTGTGCCAGCGGGGGAGAATTTCACAGACGAGCTGTGGTCGCAGTGAGTTGCCATATATTTCCTTTGCTGTTAAGGCTGTAATACTGTAGACTAGTGTGAATATTACCTCATTATGTCCTTTAAACGTATGTATATCTTACACCTGTTTTTGTGTTGGGGTTAGTTTACTTTATGGTTTCTAGAAATACAATAAAAAACAAAAGACAAAATATATTTTATTATTACTGCTTGCCTACTATTACACGCAATCTTTAAAATATGATAACACTTAGCGGTCGTATCGTGTATGTATTTTTTTTATTCAAGCTAAAATAATAATAATACAATGAAAAGTATGGGTTGTTCTTAATATTATGTCACAAGAAGCCATTGATATGTTGTGTACGTACATATACCAGTAATTGGTCTGCATTCCATACAAACATCTGCGTAACATTCACTCGTTTCCTTGAAAAGACCATAAAACAATATTAGGCTTAAAATTATATTATTTTAAGATTGCAAAGACTAATCATAAATAGTAAATATATAAATAAAATAACTTCAAAATAATAAATTTAAGTAAAAAGAACAGAACAAAGATCTTTAAGAATTTGTGAACCTATAAACACAATCTCTATTAATATTTATAGCTTATAATAGAGTAATATTCTGATGAGAATTTAAATAGTTAAGTTATGTTTGAAAATATCTATGCTAAAATACAATGCGTGTAAAATGATTTTAATGGTTTGAAACAGGAAATATATAATTTTACTAACGGCACCGTAATTTTTATTTAAGATATTAACACATATATTTCACGTTTTAAACCCTTTAAATTGTTTTAATACTTTCGTATTTCGGAAAATTTAATATTTCTTACATTTGCTAGAAGCGTATAAAAAAATACGACAAGGGCAAGACTTGATCCAGCATCCATAGCGTACAGCATTGTTAAGGTTGAAATTACATTGCGCGAGAGGTGCATGTATCAAGTTTGAAAAAAATCGACAATGAGGTAGGGCACTTCGTTAGTGCAACAGCACGGAACGGTGTGGATGCCGGTTTCAGTCCTGTCCGAGCCCTAATTGTTTTTTGTAGTTATAATAATGTGACGTCAAATGTATAAGAGCTGGTTTTTAACAGATGGATTAAGGAACCTTCCCACTGGATGATGAATGACGAAGAACTACCGATTCTCTGCGGGAACCTCACTGGCGCAAGACACTGTCCCTCCGGCTTCACATGTCTTTGCGTCGGCCCGAACCCAAATCACGGCTACACCAACTTTGATAACTTCCTTTGGTCTATGCTCACCACATTTCAGCTCATTACTTTGGACTATTGGGAGAATGTTTATAATATGGTGAGTGATAATCATTTACTCTATTTAAAAAGTCTTTACTAACATATAAAGTTGACGAGTTTGTTTGAACGCGCTAAACTTAAGAACTACTGGTTCAAATTAAAAAAAAAAATGGTTTTGTGTTGGTTAGAGCATTTACCGAGAAAGGTACTATAAAATTGCGCTGTGACTGTGAAGAAATGGTGAGGAATTTGGAAAAACGGGGGAAATTATTTATCTTTCTTGGTTTTCGTTGTTTACGCTGCGAAAACGATACAAGATACCCAAAAAATATGTATAACAGAATGATTCCCCTGTAAATGATCTAAAAAAATTTAATGGCGCTATATGTCTGAAGATATACTTGAAAAAACAACGTCGCGGGTAACAGATTAAATTTATAAAGATAATGAGGAGCCTTGCAAAAACAAATTTTGTTTGCTCAAAATTCTACGCGGACAAAGTATGAACTATTAATTTGTGAACTATAGCTGGTACAGCTAATAGTTCACAAATTGTTTAATTATTATAAATTAAGTCAAAAATAGGTTATTCTTTTTTATCGTGTACACCAATAAAAGGTCGATGATCAGTCCACCCCATCAGCTGACCATTTCACCCATAAATATGGTTTATACATAACCGAGAGTTGAATCGCCTACCGTATGATTAAAATGATATATAAATAACTACCAACGGCTCGATTGAATCAAGTTTATATGCAACGTTCATATTTCAAACGGAAACCGTGATTTCACACGTTTATAAATTCCAGAATATTCAACAGCAATATAGAATTTTCCCCGGATAAAGGCTTTCTGCTTTTAAGTTGAAATACTCTGTCCTGGTTTTAGATTATTTGAAATATATTGCCGTTACTATGTTATTAACTTTTAGATATTATCGTTGACCTAAACTCATAATAATACATTATAAAAGTTATTTATTACACTAGGCCTCTATATCTAAAAGTCCTCGGTTCGAATCACGGGTAAGACTGTGTCGGGCAAGGCACTGAAGTCTGATTCAACATTTGCCTAGAAATTATTGTCTATTTAATAAGCGAGTAGAACACACTTAAAAAAAACACTTTTGACGGTTTAAAGCGCGAAATATATTAGTGAACCTACTTTTAAAGTAAAGCTATTGTGAGAAAAATAATATAAATTGTATGAAAATATTTGTACCCGGTGGGGATCGTAACACATAGATAGCCATTAGACCAACAAGTCCGTCAGTAGGTGCATTTTTACGTAATCACCTTCTCCCGGTTCGATATCTGCCTGTCTTATTTTTTACTAACTTGGAGTAGTTTAAAGTTATACTAATATTATAAATGTGAAAGTAACTGAAACTAATTAACTGATTTAAATGAAATTTGGTACTCAGACATTTTAGAGCCTGAGCAAAGACGTAGGCGGTAGTAGTAAAAATGGGGATGAAAGTTTGTAAGGAAATTCGTGGTTTTTGAAGATAGAATAATGAAACTTTCTTCTTTAGCTTTTTGGGAATAGGGGTGGGAGTGATAGTGGGATCGGGCGTGGGATTGGGAGTTAGAGTAGGAGTGATGTGAGGTGAGAGCGGCAAAGTAACACTTACAACATAGACTGGCTGCCTTAAATGCGCCCTTACATCAATTAATTAAAAGCCTAAATAATTAGAAATTCCACCCCAAGTCACTATTCCACGCGGACGAAGTCGCGGGCACAGCTACTGTTTCTATAATAACAATTTCAGAATTATTAAAAACTTTCTACTACACGTAGTATAGACAGGTATAATAAAAACTAAGTTTTATACGTTATTCTGCGAAAATATATTTGCAAAGGTAGACTTTACAGAAGGAATTCAACGAAAACCCTTGTAACATTATCTTGGTCGCTACCCCGCCGCAAAAATGGCGGACATTTCGCATAATAAGTATGTTTTCGTATGAAGGTTAAACGTGGGAATTAATTAAAGGCCCTAATAACTCTTACAGATATATCTCAAGTGTTTCATATATCATTTATTCCTTACTAGCTTTGCCCGCGACTTTTTTTACATGCAGATTGGGAGCATGCAGAATTCATAAAAACTTCACTCCATGAAATATGTTATGTGTTGTCAATATTTAAGTAATAATTCTATCGCAATATTTATATTCTGTAACGGTAGAATATGCTTATATATAAATAAAATAAACTTCCTTAGCATTATAAATTTTAGCTTTTACCGACGACGTGATCCGCGTCTTGCGGCGTCGTTTTTGCGAGTATATATATCCCACTTACATTTTTTTGCGTTTCTGGAACCGTTTTCGTAGAGTTCGCTATCTTTTCGCTTCTATAGATAGCAATCTCATGTTTAACAACACAAAAATATTGTTTCAATTCAAACCAGTAGTTCCTGAGACTAGCGCATTCAACCAAACAAACTCTTCTGGTTTATAATATTAGTATAGATATCATCTTTTCTTTTGTCTTATTCTCAAAACCCGAAATCTTCAGGATATCAAATACAAAATCATAAATATGACTCAAATGTTTCGGCCTCAAGCGGAGAGGATTAAACCAAGATATATTAAGGGACCACCCCAAAATAACCGCCACTGAATTAAGCAAATGTAGGGTAATTGGCAGCGTGTTTACAATCCCAATATAAAGCCCCTCTAATGCGACCAACTTATAAACGTTTATTACTTAGAAAGGTGTTTTAAAGGTCTAAAAGTCAACGAACCCGAGACCTTGTACAATACGTGTCGACTGTATTCCATTTTAACTTTTTATAACAACTTGTAATAATACAAGTATTATGTAAATATTATATATTTATCGATAATTAAAAAAAAACACTTTAACGGTTTAAAACGCAACACGCAACTCACGTCGGACTGTAGTTTAAGTAATCTTCAAATAAATATAGCTAATATATATCGCGTTATTGTTTTATTGAAATGTTTACTACTCGCGTAAACTACAGACAGTATTTACACTCGACAAATTAACGGTTTAAAACGCGCACTTAAGTATTAAAAATATATTTCATTTTATAAATACTTAATTGAATCCTTCCATGACCGTAGCTGTTGTTTAGCATCCGAAACTTCGAATATATTAACTACTACGTTTCGTGTTTTAAACCGTTGAAAGTGTATTATTACATACCTTTCATTTGAGTCATTTCTTGGGTCTGTAGTCAACAGACTCTAGAATACTGTGTACCTAAATAATTAGATAAAATTACTTTAACGGATTTAAACACGGTGACACGAGTCGGTACTTTCACGGATTTAAACACAGAGTCAAATATTTCTTTCAGGTACTATCATCGTGCGGCCCAATGTCGGTGTCCTTTTTCACTGTGGTCGTGTTTTTTGGGTCATTCTACCTCATCAATCTAATGCTGGCTGTCGTCGCGCTTAGCTACGAAGAAGAATCTCAGATTACGCAAGAGGTAACAAATATCAATCTAGAATATTCTAGATTTTACTAAATTGTCTGCGAAATAACCTCCCATTATTTTTATGATAGAGGAGAACAGAGAAGCTTGGGGTTGGGGCTAAGAGGTGTAATACCCCATATAACATCTATACAGACAGGGTACATAAGTTTGTTTAAATAATTTGTCAGTAAATAAAATCGATTAGTATAACGGACATAGAGATGGTAGACATATTTCTATCTCTTTCTGAAACAAAGATTAGGTATTGTTTAATCTCTAGAGTCTAGTCTAGACCGGGTACTTAATTATTATGTTAAACATATATAGTGTTTAGACGTATAGGCCGCGGTGCAATCGGTTAGAGCAACAGCACAGAACGCTGACTATGCCGGGTCAAGTCCTGCCTATGACGTATTTTTAATCTAAAAGCGTTTTTTATTTATATGATGCCATCATGTGTACATGTGAAAGTATTCAAGTTAAATTAAAAATTGAAAAAAAATACGACTCGGGCAGGACTCGAACCGGCATCTACAGCGTTCCGCCCGGTTGCTATAACTAATTGAGCTGCTGAGTCCTACACGTCATCGTCGAATTTTTTAAATCTATTGATGCATGCACCTCTTGCGCAATGTAATTTGGACCATAACACTTCAAGTTTTCAAATAACAGAAAATAAAAGTAATTAAACTAAAGCAACAAAAGTACGTCGTTTGTAGAACCCGATGTTACGTTATCCTAAAACAACATAATTTAAATTGTTCAGGAGAGGAAGAAGGACTTGAATGAACACCGCGACGATTCTACCTTCAGCTTTGACCCTTCGTCGTTAGCGGTCAAGACGCTTGGTAAGGACAAAAAGAAGAGAATAGACGCAAGGAAAGGGCTTCTACTGGCTTCCTACTCGAGGAAGAGAACGAGGAGACGCAAGCGGGGCAAAACTATACATCACACGGTTACAGCTACACCTGGAGATTCCAACAGGTATAGTTAATTACAGCTTTTAATATAAAAATAGATTATGAATTGAAAATTACTTACACAGTAGTTTAATTGGTAGAGCAACAGCACGTAGCGCTGTGAATGCCGGTTCAAGTCCTGGCCGTGTCGTATTTTTTTTCACAATAATCGATTTTTAATAAAAATATTGAGAGTTTCAAATGCTTCTTATATATATAACCTTTTTAATTACAGAGTATTGTTAATAAGTTGTTTAGCTTTCGCGGCCATTTTGCGATGATTTTTGGTTGGTCGTTCTAATTCAAAACAGGTTAAAATTTAAGTAGCTTTAATTAAGCTACTTAGGTTTCGACTGAAGAGTTGTTACACTTCAGAAAGAAAGTATTACTAATATGTTTTGTGAGAGTGAAATAAAACATAGTGTCGGTCGGGCAGGGCACATAAATCAGATCAATTACTTGTCTAGAAATAAAACTGATTCGGTGAAACGGACACAAAAATGGGATTTCATATATAACGTTTTGACTCAGTTAAAATGGACGATAACCGCTAAAATAATTGTTTTTTTCGGAAACATCACAAGACCTTTAACAAACATAAATAAAAATATATCTAATAAAATATTAATTTACTAATCACATATAAAATAAAAGAGTCCACTCAGCTACGTTGGGACTAATGTCCTAACACTGATATTCTGTGCCCCCTTCAGAGACCTAGCTAACTTTAAACACAAACACTTTACAACAATAGGCTTTAAATTTAATTACTTAGGATTCCTCCGTTCACGTTTCTTAAATAGTTTAACACGTAGGGAATATGACCTCTTTGTTCTTTAAACATAAGAGTTATTTGTCAATCTTAATGTATTAATAATAACATAGTTCTAGAAATTTTGAACAAATTTTCCATAATTATGATTCTCTTGATAAAACTCCAGTAGTTAGTATTAATTACAAAAAGCCACAGACTAAACTTTTAGACTCAGTCCAGGGAGTTCAGCTTAATAGCTCGAGTAAAGTTTTTATAGCTTACGCTCTGTAAAAGCTTTTGTGTGGCTGATAATGATGAATATTTGATTTCCACTAATAAACTTTTGTCCCAAAGCTTTCGAGATTGGTAAAGATCTTTATTTCGGTTCATTGTATGAAAAGATTATAGGAAATACATAAAATTCTATCTCTGATATTTGAAGTGATAAAGTTGTCCCTTCTTATCGGGAAATATGAAGGGATCCTTGTTACAAAGCAATTTTTCAGAAGTACGGAAAATGTAAGGAATATTGGGAAAAGTAATGTTGATACACTGCAAGATACCTTTTATTATGTAAACCATACTACTGTTTTGTAGGTTCTGCTGCCCATACATTGCCATACATTGCTACCACTGTAACAGTATAGTGGTAGCATGTCTATCTTAAGTTCTATTCTCAGGAAGTCCAATATATCATTGGTTTCAGTCTGTGCTTCCAAATGTCCAAAACCAAAATAGATTGACAGCGTATCTTGTATAGATTATATATATGGATGTGAAAACAAAAAATGTCAAAAAATTTAAGCATATATAACTCACGAACTACCATACACAAAAAGAACAAGAAGTTTAATCGCGTTTCGGTTTCAATCTGTAAATTTCCTAATAGTCAAAGCCAATAGGTAGAGAGCACATCTTGTCAAGATATTAATTAAGTCTGCCCTTCTTTAACAAAAGAGGAAGCATAGTTTTTTTTTCTAGACCTAAATGTTTATTGACAACGTAGTACCAGGATATAAGAAACGTTGAACAAGCGAAAATAAGCGTAGTTAACGAAGCGGCGTTAGCGGGAACAACATGTGGGGATACATGTAATTTATACTCGATAACGTTAACGAACAACGCGGTATTGGCAATAAAATGCGTGCGTACCCGCAGTTACTTCGTACAATCTTGTAAGTCGTTCGAACAAGAAACATTTTGATGTTATGTTGCGTTATATGTCGTATTTGCTTACAACTCCTTTACATTTTCATTGCTACAAACTTTATTTTATTCGAGTATATCTATCAGAAATATGTTTTATTCAAGTTCAAATATATATTTGAAGATGTTGACGAATTTATATTTTTATATTCATATATATTTGTCTTTAGACAAATTAAGAATTGTTTACAATTTACATGTGTAGTACACATTTAAGTAAAAAAACTCTTTACGGGTTACGCAAAATATAGTTAACTTATTTACGATTGGAAATAAAGTTTTTATCCCAAACTGTGGTCAAATTCAAACTATGGGAGCCACACGACACGAAAAAAAATATTAAAACGTTTTGAACGGCCTTTAACGCAAAATTTATAAGTTAAACTTAATTATCCGAAACGTCAGCCTATATTTAAAATAAATTGCTGCTAAGTTAAAATGTTTCGCGTTTTAAACCGTCAAAAGTGATAATTTATATATTATATAATTTATATATATAATTTTAAACTACACAATGTTTGATTCTTGTTACTGAGTAAAGCAACCGCTTATAAATATTGCCGATTATAAAGATTAACATAAGTAATCTCGTAGCAAGCTCGTAGCATTTCGTAGCACATCGTAGCAGGTGTTTCTCAAAGCGCATACAATATAATCCTTAGTAAATAGCATTTATTACGGTCATTACTGGATTATGGGCACATGTTACTACGTCTAATTGCTGTGTAGTTTAATTAATAATAAGAATTATAAAAAATTCTTGTGCGAGACTTAAGTAATACTTGACTGATGCTATAACGCGTTTCGTAACGAAACGTTTACTCGCAAAAAGTACACGTTATTCGGGTCTATACCATAATACTTATCGTAGGTCTTTAAATAAGAAAATGTAATAAAAACTTGGCAATTAAAAGGAGTGGCGGCGAGTTTCTCGCCAGTTCATCTCGTTCGTGCTACGCCCTAACTTGGGAACTGGTAGTAACTGTAAATTTTGAGTTTTGAATTTTTAACTATTTTGACGATCATAAATGTACTAAGAGCTACCTAAATGAATAAATGATTTTTGATTTTTTTAAGAAAATATTAATTTCAACGTTTTAATTGAGCCAATGAACGACAAGCAAACGTTCGTTTGCCGAGTAAAGTATGTTTACAACATTTGATTACAATAAACAAGGTTCTTTTGTGGTAAAATTAAAATATAGACGTATACTGTCGCGGATATTATTTTAGATCATTCCAAGAGGCATCAATCTTTGATACACATCTTTTGTGTATCATGAACGATTTTCAACGGGAATTCTTTTCATATTTGTTCTACATTTTCCACTCTTTCTTATCTCCTATTTCAACGTAATATTTTGTTAAAGACTTCCTCGATAATTATTTTAACCGGCATAAAAACATTTTTTTTTCAATTCAAACCAAGTAGTTCCTAAGATTTGCTTATTCAACAAACAATTGAACTCTTCAGCTATAAAGATTATTTATTTGTTTTTAGTATAGGTTTCTTTTTATTTGTTTTTCTATAGTATAGATTAAAATAGAATTTGAAGCTACTTATATTGGAGCTTATTTCAATAAACTGACCAGTGCGTGCTTTGTAGGAAAATGGGAATAATATGGAAACCCAGTTATATAAACATTTATCTTTTTTTAGTTTTCGTTTTTTATTTATAGCATCTTAAAAAATTGTCAACTGTCCATCTATCCCGTAAGAAAATAATTAAGTCTTTGAAGTACCGCGTACTGCTTTGGTATAAAATCCTACAAAATGTTTAAAAGATGCATTTTTGCAAGACCCAGCCATATAACCACGCATCTTGCGTTGTCGACCTATTTCGGTTTTGGATTTTTCGTCGCATTTTATTACTGTTTCAATAATAAATTCGTGTATTTAAACTCGGCAACATCCAAACGTTAATCCACACAATTGAAATGTAAACCTAAGAATTAATTATTTATCGTTTGTAATTACGGGCCGAAGATAATCCCTATCGTACGAAATAAGCGGGTAATGTAGGTGACGTGGAAAATGAACGCTGCACATGGAAGAATAATTATGGTATTAGTATTATTTATTATTATTATCTGTGGATAAAATTAGAACTTGTTAAGTACTGGTTATAGTTTAATACCAAAAATAGTATATTAGCAGCCTATGACGAAACAGGTAGACCTAACGTAGCAGATTTGATTTTGACTATAAAGACACTCTCTATGTTCAGTCCCCTCATGGGTACGGTTGCTGCAAAGCATCCAAAACGCCGGGTCGTGAACACAGGGGAACTAATAAATTAAGCGTTTATAACAGTTAAATTTGTTTGCCTCTTTACTCATGTAAAATGGAAAATTATCGCATTTCGGCTTCTAGTAGAGTTTGTTTTTTCTTAATTGGACGTTTTTTTTATATAATTAATACCTAGTATTATTAAAATAAACTGTGTTTTACGTTGTAGTGTTGTGAAGTAGCGAATAAAGCGCTATTAGTTTCGTGTGCATAGCCTTTACTTTTGTGCTTGCGACTAAAAAAATCGAATTTGATTAATCCATCACCAGAATTTTATCTCCAATAGAAGAAGAGTATTAACACTTTTATTGAGAAAATGTTCTCTTACCAAAATCTAATAAACACCGTATTTTATTAAAACATGGCCGCGCTGATGCGAAGTAACGAGGTTTGGACTCAGTATCATTGAGTTAAGCCGTGGACTAAGTGTTTCTAATGAGACGGTTCTTAGCTCTCAAAGGGACAAACATAATACAATGAGTTGTTTTAATTAATTCGACTTAAGAAAATCGAGTTAGGAAATATGTCGAATTTAACTTGATTTAAGCTTTAAACCAGAATTATAACAAGACCGTTAAAGCAATATTGGATAATTCTTTTAATCATAAACGTCTAAAAATTCGTTGTCTACAAGATATGACAATTTAACTATAACCGACGTGTCGTGGGTTCGGTTTAAAGCCCGATATATATTAACTAAACCGTTTGATATTTAACTAAACCGTTAAAGTATTCTATTTTAATATTAGACGTCGTCTAAAGCAAGCAATAATTT